ACCATAAAGGCCGTCCATAAACATAACTTTCACATGGGAGTCATAAGAAGAGATCGTAAGAATTCATATGAATTAGCCTCTAATAATTAAAACACAAAATATGATTGCCAAGTTTGTGTTGTATAGTTGAACCGATTTTGCTTCATAATTAATGAACTTGGCAACATTCACACACTATTATTGAACTACACTGAATCAATACTGAACAAAACTGAGTTGAATAATGACACCAGTCTATTTAGTGCTGCTTTACAGCTGAAATTCTATTTGTTACATAACTGAAGAATTTTATAACATCAATAGGCCTGTTGTTTTCTTATTACTGTGAAGCTGCTTTGAAACAATCTGTATATAAAGCACTGTACATAAATGTGACTTGACTTAAAGACAAGAAAACATTAGATGAAACACACTCAACTCTTCATATTCATGTTATTAGTATTGAAAAGTGTGTTGAAAAGTGTTGAAAAGTGTTGAAAAGTTTTCGGAACCCTAATCACTTATTTTTTACTCTTGCTTTAAACAGCAGACCAAGCATTGCATCAAAGATCTACTGAAAATATCAGCTGAGCCCAGCATGACTTTTTAGAAATGCTAATGTTGGTTGACCAACATGTTCTCTCTGATGAATGTGGTTGACCAATGCTGTCTTGCAATTTTGTAGTCAAAAACTGTGTTGCCATCCTCATTTCAAATCTGTATGACCTTATTTCTTCTGTGGAACATGAAAAAATATATTTTGACAAATTTCATAAAATAAAATTCAAATGTTGTTTTTGACCCCACTGACTTTGCATGGGCAAAAACAACTGAAACATTCCTCAAAATATTTTCATTTTTGCTCCACAGAAGAAAGAAAGTCATGTTCTCATTTTGTTTTTGCTGTTGTATGTCAAAATGTCATGTACTCTAATGTTGTGCCTCAGAGTTACATTACCCAAACTCAACACTAGATGGAAGTGTTAATTTTCTTTTCTTCTTTCTTTCTCTTTCTTTCTTTTTATTTTTAAAAGAAAACATTAAAATTACCCTTGAACTCTCATCACCTGATGTATTAAAGTGTATTCATTCACAAAACAATGTTTTTAAGGTAAGGTGTTTTTTTCTCTCTCAAAACAATAATTTCAGATGTCTGAACGATCAGTTTCTTGTTCACATCAGATCTGAATGTCTTATTGATTTAAGCAAATTGCATGTGGTTTGTCACATTGATTCTCAATTAAATTGTCAACCTCTTCACAACTTCTAAACATTCTTTCATCATGTGAGCCATCATATGCAAAATTATCCATTCAAGTATCAAAATCTGTCACATGCGTGCATATTCCATAAATATCGGACATGGAATGGTTGTAATGTATGCTAAGTTGGCAAATGGCTTGCCATTAGGTTTGCAAAGGGGCAGAACATTTCCGGAAACTTTACAGATTTTTTTGGAAACTTTCGGAAAAATATACAATTTTTGGAGACTTTTGGAACGTTTTCAGACATTTTCCAGAAAATGTAGACCCCTTTACTAAAACGTCACAACCCTAAACAGCAGCAGCTACAGCAGTACTGTAATACATTTATATTTGTACGGTAGATTTATCTGTAGAAATATGTTACATCGTGTAAACAGAAAATTCACAGTTGCTTACAGGAAGATGTAAGAATCTAATGTAAAAATGTCTCTGAATGTTGATTTAGAATATTACAAGTTGTAGTGGAATTTAAGTGAGGAAACGAATATCATGTCTCATCTTAAAACGAACATAAAACAAACACAACAGAACTATATAAAGGCTTTTTACGTGAACACATTTAAACTAAAGGATTAACTCTTTCATTAATTTATTCCACATAGTAAAAACATACATGCCAGCTATACTGACCTGATGCAGACACATATAGCTGAAGGCTGACTGATATCGTCTTGGTCTGGTCTGGACTCTGCAGCGCGATAAGGTAACGTGAAAATAAGCGGGACAGTCTCAAAACTGGCCAAATGGCAGTTCCACTTTTCACCACAGATTTACATTGTAAAATGTGTGGGGCGCTGTTGAGTTCGGGAGGACGCCGGTGTTCTGACAAATAATGCTACCTATCAGATGATGCTACCAACACTGTATTTATCCTACACTGTAAAAAATGACCGTGAATTTAACGGTAAAAGACTGTAAAAATGCTACAGTAAAAACCTGTTAAATGGTTAACGGTAAATTCCCCTACTATATACGGTGAAAAACTGTATTGGACATTACATGTATTGGACATACATTTTACGGTAGTATACCGTTTTTGGAAGTGAAAAATGCCGTATAATTTACAGTGAATAACCGTAAATTGACATTCCCAGAATTCCCTGCGTTACATATACTGTAATAACTGTTTCTTCTTAGTTTTTTCTTATCAGTTTTATATATTAGGGTTGTGTGTTACACCTAATGTTGTTAAATGAATGTTTATTGCATTATTTCAGTTTCATGTGTGTTACCATGATGGTGTTTAGCGTTTGTGTGAATGACACTGTGCACCTTCTATATATGTTATTATTTAAAAGCTGCTTGTGATGGGCTTTGGTTCATCATGTGACTTTCTCATCACCACCTGCATTTGGTGGTTATCAGTGTATTACAAAGGTACAAAACAGATTTCAGTACTTCAATAGGTTGGTATATTAACATTATATCAGTTAATGAAATTACGGTATTTAACTGTAAATTTAAGTTAAAACCGTAAAACCTAAAATGTTGCTACCGTATTTTTTACGGTAAAATTCCGGCAACCACAGCTGCCGGTTTTTTACCGTAAATTTTACGGAATTTTTTTTACAGTGTACGGTAAGGGTAGGTTTAGGGTTGGGGTAGGTGTACATGTTAATAAAGCCTCACACCTTACGTGCCTGCCGAAGCTTGCGATGAATTTTAATATATCCTGCGCACTTTATGACTTAAAATTGTCAAGAAAATCCGAAAAATATTTGTTGCAGAATTGCTGAACACATTTACAGTTTATTATTTATTCAGTTTATATAGAGGTCTATGTTTTGGGTGAATATTTAGCTGCGCCTGCTTTTGGCATCTATAATTACCCAGGTAATTTTTACAAGGGGTGATACCCTATTTTTCCAGATTAAAACTGGTTCAGTCGACATTGCTTTAATTCATTACTAATAGTTAAATGACTCAGAGTATTTTGAACAAAAGCAGTGTGGTGATTCAGGACATTTGTCCTCTGTGTTAACATGTAGCTTGTGTTTGAAATGGGTGTTTGAATAAAGTATTTTGGTTCATTTGATGATTCTTACAGCTACCAATAACAGAATAGGGCTTTTAGCTCTTCACCATATTTAAATTTGGCAGAATTTCACAGATTTTCCCAAACATCAGTGCACAAAACTGTAGTAAATTAATTAAAATCATAATGTTGGCATAATTCAAGGACATTGCCCAGGTGAAAAAGAAATACATTTAAATTGTGCTTTTTCAGACATACTTACTATATTTAAATTATACTATACTAAGTGCGTATTAAATGTATTATTTTGAAACAACTTTAAGTATATTAAGTGTATTTCAAGATATGTTTAAGTTGGATTTTAATCTATTTGTAATATATTTAATATATTGAAATTGTGTTAAAATGGAACCACTTTAAGTACATTTAGTGCAATAAATCGAAAGTTGCAACTGTGTTATTTAATGAGCTAACATGAACTAAGACTTGTATATTTTAAACAAAGATTAATAACGTCTGTAGCAAATGTAGCTATTGCTCATTGTGAATGTTAATGCATTAATTAAGGTTAACTAATGAGGTCTTATTGTAAAGTGATACCTATTGGTCTTTATAGTTCTTTTGCACTTTAATCTGTGTAAAACTTTTAACTTTATACATTTTTTTGTATTGCTTTATTGCATTTAAATGTTCAGTTATTTTTGTTATAAGAAAAATGTTATTAAACCTGTTATACTGTATTATGACAGCACTTTTTTAAACTAAATTTCAATATTGTGATAATACCGCATACCGTGATAAAAGCATTAGCAATTAATCGCAACATGAAAATTTGATACCGGCATATCCCTAGTTACAACATATAATACAAATTGAAACACTAAGTATTCAAATTAATGATTTGTCATACACGACTAAATGCCAGAGTTGTCACACCTCATACCTGTAGAAAATCACTCTCTCCTGATCCTTTTTTCACTGGAGTATCTTTACCATCAAACAAAATTCAGATCAAGAGTCAAAGTTCTTCAACAGTGATCAACAATACATGAATTAAAAGTATCGTTTCAGTTTTGATGGCACAAAATATAAACCAAATTACCATATCCGCAGAATAAAGCATAGAGTGTGCATGAAGCTATACATTTTCATCAAAAATCCATCATTCACTCATTTACTCATTATTTTTGACACAAAGTTTAGCAAAATGTTTATTCTTGTCTTTCATTTTATGGAAAAGAGCAGTGTGAACATACAGTAAAACATCTCCTTCTGTGGTCTATGGAAGAAAAACAAAATCATATGTGTTTGAAACAACATAACAATGATCCAAACATCCAAAAAATAAAATCAGTTATCATTTACTCACTCATTATTTTTTACACAAAGTTTAGCAAAATGTTTATTCTTGTCTTTCATTGTATGGAAAAGAGCAGCGTGAACATACAATAAAACATTTCCTTCTGTGGTCTAAAAACAAAATCATGTGCTTGAAACAACATAATGTGTAAATGATAACAGAATTTTTATTTTTGGGTAAACTTGGGTAAAATGACTATAGACTGGACACTCTATGCCTGTATAGCAGTGGAGAATGATGGGAGTAGGACGGAACAGAGCAGTTTAGAGAGAAACTCGCTATGACTTAAGCAGCAGAGAATGAGGGAAGATACAGGTTGGACAGGTTCAGCCAGTGGGCAGGTATTCCAAACACTCAAGACCAATGGGGTGTGGTGGGAGTTTGGGTTCTGTCTGAAAGGAAAATGATAGAAACTGTGGTTGGGAGAGGAAGAAGGAAAGGTGCTGCTTTTAGTACCATCAATACAACTTAATTCTTCAGAGGTCAAAGCAGAAGACAGACACATCCAAGTGTGAACACGTGAGGTGAAGTGGATTCTAAGGAGGCTCTGAGGTGGATTGATGTAAACTGACTTGATCCAAGACAGCAAGAGATCCTGGGCAACTGAGACGCCGCAGAAAGAGGAGGAGGTAGAGGAGGACCAGAGATGGCTGAAGCAGCAAAGATTGAACTATTTGTTAAGGTTAGAGCTTAAATAGTCAGTTTGTTGTTGTGCTTAACTTGACTTCTGAAAGATATAAGACATAAAAGTTTGTCTCTTGTGATCTAACCCTTGCTCGAAATGGTTGTACTTCCAATCATTCCTATGACATTATCCTTGAAAACAACATTGGTGGCCTCGAAATGGTCTTGCAGAATTTAGAACTTATGATAAGATCTCTAAAACAAATCTAAACAAAGGCTAAATTATTTTAAGCAAAAACATGAACATCTTAATGCTAATGCCTGCTAATGTTGTGGTACTTTTTCAGGAAGTATAGTTCCATGTTTCTACTTGTACATTAAATAATTTACATTTTAGGAGTTTTAAAGGGTTGCTAACTGAATGTTGTCTTCAGGCAAGCGATGATGGTGAAAGTGTTGGTAACTGCCCATTTTGTCAGCGGCTCTTCATGATACTCTGGCTGAAGGGGGTCAACTTCACCCTCACTACAGTGGACATGAAGAGGTGAGAGATGTCAACATCGGGATAACAGTTCTTCTCAGATTCTCCTAGACAACATTGAGATTAAATGGTGTGCTAAATTGAGATCTACAGAAGATCTTTTCTTTTTCCCTGGAGATAAGGAGCCCAGTAATCGCACATCTTTTTTTTTTAAGAAAAAAAAATATCTCAACAATGTCTCAAACTGTACTCCGTTATGCAATCAGAGATTTAATATAATCTCAAACATTTCTCATTAAGTTCCTTAAAAAAATGATCTGTTTATTTATGATTTCTTTGTTTCTAGAGCTCCAGAGGTACTAAAGGACTTGGCTCCAGGTTCTCAGCCCCCTTTCCTCATCTATAATGGAGAGGTCCGTACTGACACCAACAAAATTGAAGAGTTTCTGGAAGAGACCCTTGCTCCCCCACAGTGAGTATGCATTCATAGCACCAGATCAAAGATTTCAAATATTTTGTTGTGAGCTCCTGAAATATACAAGAATTTCTGAAAAAAGTATCTTACTGTTTGTACAAAATGCCAAAATGTCTTCCACTACAAATTCAACCTTTTACATAATGAAATGGAAAATAAAAATTATGTCCGCATCACCAAGTAAACTTGTTTTGCATTGTTTTTGCATTACAGCTATCCCAAGTTATGCTGCCGCTATAAGGAGTCTAACACAGCAGGAGATGACATCTTTCACAAATTCTCGGCATACATCAAAAACCCCAATCCTGGGCTCAATGACAGTAAGGGTCACCCTTCTCTGAAGTTGTTTGGCCAGTGAACAGTAAAGTCTGTAACTGATGAGAAGGGAGTGAACCTTAGAAATTAGTTTCAAGACTTGAAGTCATTTTATGTTTGAAATATGGAGGCTGTCACTTCTAAAGCATTTGGGAAAACTTGTTGCTCTAAGATAGATAGATAGATAGATAGATAGATAGATGCATTTGAATATCAATACATTAATGGTATGGTTAATGTGTGCCTTTCAGTGCTGGAGAAGAAATTTCTAAAGAGTTTGATGAAGTTGGATCAATACTTGTTGACTCCTCTTCCTCATGAACTGGACCAGAATCCAGATTTGTCCCAGTCCACAAGACATTACCTGGACGGAAATGCGCTCTCTCTTGCTGACTGCAACCTGCTTCCAAAGCTCCACATTGTCAAGGTTCTTGGTCATTTTTTCCCATTTAGATAAAAAATTAATTAAAGTGTATATTGTAGTACTGATATAATACAGTTGCTATTTAGTGGAGGGAATGGGGAATGAAGTGAAATCTTCATTATGGTCATTAAACTTCATCTAGTTTATAGATCTAAATGTTTTGTTGACTTTATAGGTGGTGTGCAAGAAGTACCGTGGTTTTGAGATCCCTGCAGAGCTAAAAGGCCTCACAAAGTACTTGGACAAAGCATACAAGGAGGATGTTTTCCACCTCACCTGCCCCAAAGACAAGGAGATTCTGCTTGCCTACCATTCAGTGGCCAAATATCTCAACAAGTAAAACTGGACTTTAAAGGAGGAGGAGGACAAAGATTGTGTGGAAGTTTTTGTAAAGTTTTTTTTTTTTGGTCTAATGTGTACCCAAAACTGCCTTTATTATAAATATATTCTTAATGGGAATTTTGATTATCAGAGTATATTATGGGTGGAGGTTGTTTTCGTTTATCATTTAAAAACCACAATTGTGAATACCAGATGCCTGCCTTATTCGTTCCTGCCATTTTTAGTATTTAAATGTGTCACATTTGTCTGTGGTTTTGATGGATTACTTTTGTTTGATAGCCACTCATTTAGAAACGTCTGTGAATGTTGTTTTTAAATCTGTGTGAAATGAGACATAATTGGTCTGAAATTCTACCCCATGAGAAAAAAGAAGACAAAGCAATAGACTAAACAACTCTTACAATGATGTTATTGATGTCAAAGGACACTCTTGAAACGTCCAGAATGTATAAAACAGCTTGCAAACCAATACAATTCTTATGGAAGAAAAGTGCTCTATTTGATTGCATTTGGTCAAGCTAAGAGAACTTACAGAAACACAAATATACACTGAATTTTCTCATCACTTTTCCTACTGTCAACAAAACAAAACAAAACATGTGGTCTATTACAGTTAATATTATTAAGTTCCATATGCATGGTTTTGAATGAATGGTCTGGCTACGTTGTTTTTTTTTTTTTTTTTTGCGTTTTATGAGTGACATAAAAAAATATTAGCCTATAATGTTTTGTGTAAATATGAAACAACAACGCTGTTAAGAGCACGTTAATATTATTAATGCATTTGACATTAATTACATTTACTTTTAGTTATATTACATGCCATCCTTTTTATTTTTAGTATAAACACAGTTATGGGTATTATCTTGGTATTGCGTATGTTGTTTTGTTTTGCATGCAATATATATAAAAAATTAGTAGTCAAACAACAGCGATCCTGATTGGCCCCTTGATGTTCTTTGTAGCCAATGAAACTACACATCACTGCCACGTCAAAGACTGTCAAGGTAACAGCAGAGATTTGATTTCATGGGGCGAAAAAGGAGCTGCCAAAGTTTACACTGGAGTGAAATTTGTGTGGAAATGACAAGAAAGTGACCCAGCCAGCAGCTGTGGTATGAATAAACAGTTTCAAACGGGATAATTTCCGGACCGGTCTTCAATTTCGCTGTCTTTAGTAAGTAAGCTAATGAATGCTGGCTAATTAGCATATTACTCTTGCACGTATAAACCACCTGCTTTTTGGTAAGATATGTATGCTTTATTGATATTTTTGTGCAAAGGGTCTAAGCCTAAAACAGAATTCAACTGTTTCTAAGAGTTGACGTTGTTGTTTACACTTTAGGTAGCTGTAACGCCCATAACACTAATGAATGTCATCCCTGCTTCAGTGACAACATAAACACTGCTTCACATTTAACTGGCGTGCTTATGTTTCCATAGGATTACATAATAAAAGGGTTTGCAAAGGTGTGTTAAGCGCAGCTAAAATAGAAGTTAGTCTTTCAACACTTTACTCACAGAAAAGTTCAGACTTTTTTTGACACTTTTCTTGCTCTCTGTCATTCAAGAAAACAAAACAGTTCATGTTTTAAATACAACTAAATGCATTCTCCATAAACTGAGTGACTTTGACTTTTTAGAAATGGAAGAGAATGCGAATGACGATGGAGATCAGTGCAAGTATCCTGTAAGTATCTTGCATCTCACTGTCTCAAATGTCATTTTATGTTGCAGCTGGATTGTTATGCATTTGTGTCAATCATTATCAGTTCATGTACTTTGCTGATTGTTTGTCCACTCCCTATTTATTAAAAATGTACAGTATGGTGTTTGAAGAATGGCCACAAATAAGTTTGGAATGACATAAGGATGAATAAGTAATGACAGTATTTTTAGTTTTGGTGAAGAATGTTAGATTAGTGGTTGAGCTGATAGATCTCTTTATTTTTGCAAGGGGAAGTGCTTTTGTGTTTTTGCACATGACCGGTAGCAGCTGAGAAAGCACCGTCCTCTTTGAGTCTCGTTTGAGCTCAACTTTTAAGTATAAATATGATTTCAAAGAAACCCCACATGAGCCGTTTTTTTTTTTTTTTACTTGTATTGTTCTGTGGAACAAATGTAAATAAATTATACAATACAAATATAAAAGGGTGTTTTATCCAGAGGGCTTTTTATTTTCAAACCAAAACAGAGACATAATTGTGAATGTATCTTACTGTTTGTGTATTGTTTATTTCCTCAGGCTATTATTGGGAGTGAAATTCGTTCCCGCCTGCAGCAGTTTGTGGAGGAGAGGATGCAGACCACCATGGTACACTGATGTGTTCTCTGAATTAAGACCTGTTCACACCAAGAACGATAACTATAACAGTGACTATATTAGCGTCCACACCAATGCATGATAATGTTCTGTTTATTATAAGCAAATGCTGCAGTTCTGTTGTCTGCTGCTTTAAATGCTCAAGTGCTTTAAAGTCAGGTGGATTCTGATTTGCTGTCAATGGTTTTATCTTTAATCTGATGGAAAAAAGTTCCTCTGTGTTGTTATCGTTATAGTTGAGATGTGGAGCTGTCCTTTTAAATTTAGAACAATTTTTAAAACCATATTGTTATCGTTCTTGGTGTGAACGGGCCTTTACTCTGGAAAGCTATCTTTTCCCACATTAGTTTCCAGTGCAAAGGGAACTGCATCTGACTGACTCAGATCAGCTGTAACAAGTTACAGAAGTTTAATCATGTTTCGGTTGACCGATACGCCCATTTTAATGAGATGATTATTTCTTGCAGTATTTTTGCCAATATTATTTGCTCTGTTACTGAAAATGTGTTTTGATGAAAGTAAAATCAAAAGTCCAGTAGTAGAGGATGATATTTATCAGTTTTCCTGTAATGTCAGATAAATTCTCTTATCTTACATCTTTGTGACTGTTGTCTGTTCCAGCTGACGGGCGTATTGATCGGTGCCGTGGTGGCTGTGTGTCTGATAGGAATCTCTGTGCTTTTCTTCTACCGCAGATATAAACTGGCGAGTATGTTTCACTTCTGTGCCCAAAACAGATGCTTTAAGTCCAAAGAACTGTATACTGGCTTGAGCATCATGTTGTTTTTACGTTGTTGCTCAGTTCTGATACTTGAATAAGAGCCTTGTGGTCATACCGTTAAAAATGTTGGGATCAGTAAATGTTTTTCAAATGTTTTTGAAAGATGCTCACCAAGTAAAAACAGTAATATTTAGAATTTTCATCAGCCAGTCTTCAGTGTCACTTGATCTTTCAGAAATCATTCTAATGTGCTGATTTGATGCTCAAGAAACATGTATTTCTATATCATATTATTATCAATCTTGAAAATAGTTGTGCTGATTTTTTTTTTTTTGTGGAAATAGAAATATTTGTTACGTTTTTAAATGTCTTTACCGTCACTATTGATTGATTTAATGCATCCTTGCTAAAGAAAAGTGTTAATATCTTTACAAAAATCTCACTGACCACCAAACTTTTGAATGGTAGTGTGTGTCTAGAGTACTGCTATTCATTATACGTTTGCTTGTGTGTGTTTTAAGATCAACAGGCTGGTGTTCCTCGCTATCGCTTCAGAAAAAGAGATAAAGTGCTCTTTTACGGCAGGAAAATCATGAGAAAGGTGGGTCACGCTGAAATCCATTTGCTTACCTGTGATTTGCACCCTGTTTTATTTGGTGATTTATAGGCAGATTCACAGCAGTCTATTTGTGCTGAAAGATAAATAGATGAGTGTTCAGACTGACTCTGCAGAGACTTGCTTCACAAATACGCATTTATAAACTGACATCAGCTGAAACTTTAGTCTTCCTCCACTGGAGGGCAGCATAGAGTGTGCCAAGTGGCATATGGCCATCCTGTATGTGTGGCACCTGCATGACTAACAGCCTGCTATTTTTATTTACTCTCCATCCTTCACTTTTTTCTATTTTTCTATTTCTATCTTTCAGGTCCAGACCTTGTCCTCGACACCATCCTCTTCGGTGTCTAAGCAGCGCTCTCGGAAGAGGCCTAAAGTTCTTAGTATAGCACGCAGGTTTGTTTAGCTTCTCACATACTTAATTTTTACAGAGCATGTGCATCTCGTTTTATCGCCCACACAATTTAAGTCAGGAGCTGTCTGATCAGTGCTTCTTATTTGACTCCTGCTATGATGTCATGCAGGATCTTGCGGATCAGGAAGGAGCCGCCCACTTTGCAGCCCAAAGAGCCCCCTCCCTCTCTCCTGGAGGCAGATCTCACTGAATTTGACGTGCAGAACTCAAACCTGCCCTCAGAGGTGCTCTACATGCTCAAGAACGTCAGGTGAACAACTCTGACCCTGTGGGGGTCACATGACTGACCTGAACTGCATGCAAATTGCATGGTACTTTTTCAGCCTAATGAAATGTCTGGTGTTCAACTAAAGATGAATGTTGATCCGTTTCAGGGTACTTGGTCATTTTGAGAAGCCTTTGTTTTTGGAGCTGTGTCGGCACATGGTGTTTGTGGAGCTGCAGGAGGGAGAGGAGCTGTTCAAGCCCGGGGATGATGACGACAGCATTTATGTGGTTCAGGATGGAATGCTGGAGCTTTGCATTCATGAGATTGTAAGGAGGAGCTTTAGAAGTACCTTTTGAAGTACTCCCATAATTACAGCACTGGTTTAGAGAATGTCAGTTGACTCGCTCATCAACCTCATGCACATGACTATTAGCCCACTACGCTTTATTACAGGTTAACTTATTATTTAATCTCGAGTTAAGGCTACATTTAACCCTAGGTTAAGAAAGGTTTCTCACTTGTAATTTTGAGAGGAGGTAAGCACCACTTTTACCTATGAAATATGAATTTTAGATATGTATATCTAAAATTGCACTATATTATTATTATTGTTATAAATTTCTATATATACATATATATACATATTTATATATATAATATATGTATGCAAATATGCACATATGTATACACTGCCTTTCAAAAGTTTGGGATCAGTAAGATTTGTAATGTT